GTCCGCAGCGTGCTGGCCACAGCGGCCATTGGAGGGTGAACCAACAGCAAAGGAAGACCTTTCTCTCTGTCTCTCTCTCTCACTGTCCACTCTGCCTGTCAAAAAAATTAAAATAAAATAAAATTTAAAAAAACCAGCCAAACAAGAATACGTGTGGCTGTAGTGAGAGCTTGGGGGAATGTCTGCATTGGTTGGTCAGCAGTAGCCTTTCCAGTCTGGCCCGTGGCACCCCCACCCCTCCCGGGCAGCCGAGCCAGGCCACTGCCGGAGCCGCTGGGCTTCATTTCTTAGCTTGTCCATGACCTCAGCCTGCAGGCGCAGGCCTAGGACAAAGCAGGGGATGGTGGGTCGCCCGGGAATCCCAGGAGTGTTGCCCCGCCCCCAAACTGCATTCCTGTATGAGCCTCGGGGTGGGAGGCCGCTCAGAGGGGCCGCGGCCAGGGCTTCAGCAGCGTTCATTCCTGTCTTCCCCAGGCCCCCCGTGAGGTTTGCACGATGCCGCTTCTGCCCGGCCCGGTGCATCTCCATCGCGCGTCCGAGAGGCCGCAAATCGCAGCATTCCCTCCGCTGCACTTGGACCTGGAGGGCTCTGCGTTTATCCATGTGGACTTCGGAAGCTGACTTGGGGTTTCCTTCCAGCCTAGCAACCTTCAGTCGGAAATTGTCTGCGTGTGCCTTGTCAGAACAACCGAACCACCGCCCTCTGATTCGGCTCCTGCCCATTCGGTAGTCACATACGCGGTGCCTACTGTATACCAGATACCACCGTAAGCACTCAGGGCTGGGCCACAGCGACAGAGCAGCACACAGTCTAGGGGTCCCGGGGTGGGCCGAGTAGCAAGGAAACTAAGAAATCAGTGAACTGTGCAGGGTGGTGGAAGGGGCGAAGTGTTTTGGAGAAAAGAAAAAGGAGATGGGAGTAAAGAGATCAGGGTGCAGTTTTAGACGGAGGAGCCTAGTGCAGGTCATGACCGCCCGACCAGTGACTTGCAGGTGAGCGCCGGCCAAGGGGATGCTCCTGAGAAGGAGTTTAAGGCAGGACGGTGCCTGCAGTGTGGAGTGACAGCTGAGCTGGACAGGAGAGAGCGGGGATGGGGGTGAGCGCACCTGGCACCTTGCAGACACCGTCAGGACAAGGGCTTTGAGTACCACAAGGTGTCATGCAGGGTCCTCGACAGAAAGGGGTGGGGACCCTAAGTTTTCAAAGGCTCGCTCAGGCGGCTCTGCTGAGAGGAGACCACGGACGCCCGGGTCAGGAGCTGGGAGACCTGCTCCCTTCCTTAGCAGTCCAAGCAAGAAGGGCCGGTGGTGGCAGGAAACGGTGGCAGACAGACTTTGAAAATAAGGCCACAGGAAGAGATGGGTACGGCATTTGAGAGCAAGACAGCAGTCAAAAGTGACACTGGGGCTTGCACTTGGGCTCTGTGAACGGTGACGTCACCATCAGCTGAGCGGGGAAGGGGGACGAGCCTCCGAGACCCCCAAGTGAAGTGGAGCAGGGGTCCCGAGGACTGGTACGGACGCGGAAGTGTCCGTAGAAGGGTAGGTTCAGGAATTCTCAGCACACAGTATGTAAACCACACAAGCAGTGAGAGGGGCTGGCACTGTGGCGCAGTGGTGACACCAGCCTCCCAGATGGGTGTCGGTTCAAGTCCTGGCTGGCTGCCCCACTTCTGATTGAGCTCCCTGTTAATGCGCCTGGGAAAGCAGTGGAAGATGGCCCAAGTCCTTGTGCCCCTGCACCCACGTGGGAGACCCGGAAGAAGCTCCTGGCTCCTGGCTTTGGATCAGCTCAGCTCTGACCGTTGCGGTCATTTGGAGAGTGAACCAGCGGATGGAAGACCTCTCTCTCTCTCTGGCTCTACCTCTCTCTGTAACTCAGTCTTTCAAATAAATTAAATACTAAAAAAATTAAAATAAATAGTCTTTCTGATTTTAGATAACATAAATCACCCCACATTAGGTAAATCCAATAAAGGGAGGCCGGTGGCTGTGCAGCACTGAGCAGGTGCTCTCGGCACACCTGCCCCCTCCCGCCCCAGCAGACCTCAGCTTCTGCTGCTCCGTCCTCAGCCCCACGACCCTGCCCACCAGTCACCACCTCGCCCAGCCTCCCAGCTCACCCTTACCCTTGAACTGAGGTTAAGCTGTGGACCCTTTTTTTTTGTTTTGGAAACTTTGAAAATGTATAATTATGGGGCTGACGCTGTGGTACAGCAGGTTAAAGCCCCAACCTGCCTGGCTGGCATCCCACATGGTTGCTGGTTCGAGTCCTAGCTGCTCTGCTTCCAATCCAGCTCCCTGCTAATGCACCTGGGAAAGCAGCGGAGGATGGTCTGAGTCCTTGGGCTCCTGCACCCATTCGGGAGACCCAGAAGACGCTCCTGGATCCTAGCTTTGGATTGGCCCAGCTCTGGCCATTTTGGCCATTTGGGGAGTGACCCAATAGATGGAAGACCGCTCTGTCTTTACCTCTCTCTATATATAACTCTTTCAAATAAATAAAATAAATCTTTTTTAAAAAAAGAAAATACATGATAGTGGGCACAGTGGGTTAAGCTACCGCCTGTGATGCCGGCATCCCATATGGGCACTGGTTCATGTGGGGAGCAACTCGGACTAGACTAAGTTACTGGAATTAAGACTTATTCTATGCATCTGCTCTCCCACAATATGGCGCTGAGAAGGGAAACAGCTTCTACACAGCTGCCTCCAGTTCAACCAATAAATTGTAGGACCTGCTCCTGATTGGAGGAGAGCAGCGCACTCGGCGTGTGGGTAGCAGAGTTGGGATTGGTGGAAGAGGACTATAAAGGAGGAGAGAGACAACATGCACCAGGACCATCTAAGGGGAACATCTATCTGAAGGAACACCTGTGCAGCCCCCGAGAGAGCCGGCCGGTGGTGTGCTGCTCCCCTGCGGAAATAGGGAAGGTGGCAGGGGGCCCGCCCCTCCACGGAGGTGGAAGGGACTGCAGCCAACCCGGGAAGAACCAGCAGCAAACCCGGGGAGGGCCGAGCAGACAAGAGAACAGCGCAGGGTCCTGTGTCGTTCCTCCATGAAGAGGGGGAGTGACAGTTCAAGTCCCGGCTGCTCCACTTCCCATCCAGCTCCCTGCTGCTGTGCCTGGGAAAGCAGCAGCTGATGGCCCAGATGCTTGGGCCCTGCCACACGCGTGGATGGAGCTCCAGGCTCCTGGCTTCAGCCTGGCCCAGCCCCGGCTGTTGCAGCCTTTTGGAGAGTGAAACGGGGGGGTGGAAGACCTCTCTCTGTCTCTCCCTCTTTCTGTAACTCTGCCTTTCAGGTAAATAAGTACATGATCAGCTGTCTTTCTCCTCCTCAGACTTAACAGCCACTAAGAGTCCTGTTCCTGCACCTTTGTGCTGTGCGTGTTGTGGCTGATGTATCACCATCCCCAAATACTGCAGGGTCACGGGCACCCCAGCCCCTGCCTGGTGCTGAGGCTGAAAAGGCGCTGGGCTCCGTCCTCTTTGACGTGGTGGCCCTGCCATGTCCCTCTCCCTCTGCCGTGAGGACAACTTCTCCCCAAGAGAAACTTGGGCTTCCACTTAAATCCAGGATCAGAGGACAGAGAGAGCAGGGCCCTGCTCCAGCTGAGCTGACATGGGCAGGAACTGCACCGAGGTGATGGCCGCCTGGGGACGCGGGGATGCTGCTTGCACCCGCGGCACCGCCCCCCACGCAGTGCCTGCTGCACCACGCGTGTGACAGGTGCCTGATCTCCTGTTCACCTTTGCACCCCGCATCTCTCTCCTTCAGGACCCACTTTTCTTCTTGTTCAAACAGCTCTTCCAGTGAGAGCCTGTCGTCAGTAAGACTGCCGGGTTCTCATTTGCCTAAAGGTGTCTTAGGGCTTAGAAGTTTCCATGTAACGTGATTTTATTTCAGCGTGTTGAGGATCTTATTCCATTGTCTTTCGGCACCTGCTGTGACTTGGGCAAGAGCCTGGTGTCAGTCTGATTCTTGCTCCCTGCTAACACTCTGTCTTCCCTCTTTGTTGTTTTCAGTTGTCTATGAAATTTGTTTAAAGATTTATTTATTTATTTATTTGCATGTCAGAGTTATACAGAGAGAGAAGGAGAAGCAGAGAGAGAGAGAGAGAGAGAGAGAGAGAGAAGTCTTCCATCTGCTGGTTCACTCCCCAATAGGCTGCAATGGCCGGAGCTGTGCCGATCTGAAGCCAGGAGCTTCTTCCATGTCTCCTACACAGGTGCAGGGCCCAAGGACTCGGGCCATCTTCTACTGCTTTCCCAGGCCACAGCAGAGAGCTGGATCGGAAGTGGAGCAGCTGGGACTCAAACTGGTGCCCATATGGGTGCTGGCACTGCAGGCAGCGGCTTTACGCGCTATGCCACCATGGCGGCCCCGAGTCTATGCACTTTTAAACCAATTTTCCATCTCACTTTATGCGTTTGGAGGAGGAGGAGGTTGCAGCATGTGCTCCGGCTGCTGTCTGGACCCAGAACTGGCTTCCTGCGCTGCTCAATGGGGCGGGCTTGCCTGCCCAGTGCATGCCCGTCGTTTTGAATCATCCGTTTTTGTGTGGTGTTGCAGAAGCCTGATGCCCCTTGGGCCCTGACGAAGCTTACAGGGATATTTCGCTTTACGCTGTGTGGTGAGTAGTTTCAAACCTCTGTGTTCCCGTAGCTCTTAGGTCTTCTTTCCCCCTTCTCCTCCTGCAGGCTGTCGGCTGCTGCTTCATTCTGACGTCCGCAGACCCACCCGTGGCCATCTTCCGCATCTGCTCGCACGCCGCTTTCTCTCCCTGCTCCCAGCCACCTCCCACTTCTCCTGTGCTCTCTCCAGACTCTGCAAAACTCACAGGCTCATTCACACACTCAGGAAGCAGCGCAGGGTCTCTGCTGACTCCTTTTCCCGCCATCAGTTCAGCAGACAGAGAGAAAGGGTATAGAAATGCATTTCTTCCTTTGTATATCAGCAAAGAACTTTGTCTGATTCCTAATAAGAAAGGCTCCAATTAGCATCTTTAAAAGTTTATTTATTTGAAAGGCAGAGTGTCAAAGAGAGAGAGAGAGAGAGAACGGGATTGGCAAAATTAACCCCAGGGTTCTCAGTGAATTCAGTTCCAGGCCTACTGTGCGCACAGAGGGGCCAGGGGCCAGCAGGAGGTCCTGGGGACAGCCCCGGGCAGGGCAGCCAACAAGGTTTTACACGAGGGGATCGCGCGTGTCTTTGAAAGGCGCTCAGATCAGGAAGGGTGAGCAGGAAGACCTCGGCCGGAAGCCTAAGACACATCCTAGAGGCCAAACACTGTCCTGCATTGTTGTGCAGTCACTGTCCATGAGCCACACTCCACGCCGTCGCTGTCCACGAACCACACTCCACGCCGTCGCTGTCCACTAACCACACTCCGCGCTGTTGGTGTCCACGAACCACACTCCACGCCGTCGCTGTCCATGAACCACACTCCGCGCCGTCGCTGTCCACTAACCACACTCCGTGCCGTCGCTGTCCACGAACCACACTCCGCGCCGTCGCTGTCCACCAACCACACTCCACGCTGTCGCTGTCCATGAACCACACTCCGCACCGTCGCTGTCCACTAACCACACTCCACGCCGTCGCTGTCCACGAACCACACTCCACGCCGTCGTTGTCCACGGACCACACTCCGCGCCGTCGCCGTCCACTAACCACACTCCACGCCGTCACTGTCCATGTACCACACTCCGCGCCGTCGCTGTCCACTAACCACACTCCGCGCTGTCGCTGTCCACGAACCCCGGTCCATGCCCGATCTGGCGCAGAGCCCCCACCTCCATCGCTGGGTTCCACGCTTACCCTGCCAGGGCCCTGGGATGGCCCAGGTGAGAGTCGGTGGCAGCATCGCTCATCCACTCTTCCCACATCCACGCAGCTCTTGCAAGGCTCTGGGCTCCGTGCTATGGGCTAGGGTGGCCAAGTCGGATGGGACCCGCTTCCTGTCTTCAATCTGCTCGCTTCTCTTTCTGCTTCAGGGTCCTAAGGCTCTGGAGCTGATCTTGGCTGGGGAAGGAGAGAGCAAGAATTAGAGCAGAAATGGGCAGCAGGGCCGGGAGGGCCGAGGTGGCCCAGGGCCAGCAGTGGTTTTCCTTAACCCCAGACTGCTCCCGCCCACCCCCGCCCCTCCCCTTCCTCCTCCACTTCCTGCCCCTCCCGCCTCCTCGCAGCCCGGCCTGGCTCTCCTGCAGACCTTCCGGAAATCCCCTGCCCCACTTCCAGCTCGGAAACAGTGACTCTGGAGACTGTTCCCATTGTCCTTGGAACTGGACCGGTGGGACCCTAGAGCCTCCTCTCTGGCTGCAGGCCTGCCACCTCCTAAGGGAAGCTTCCCCAGGGCTCTGGTCACTGGTCCCGGGTTGCAAGGCAGGAAAGTGGGGGAGGTAGAAGACAAAGCTGATCTGGAAGTCAGGCTCCACCCCTACCCCTGTGTGGGCCTTCCTCCAGCCAGGACACCTGCCTGCGCCCCATTGTCTCGAACCCCTTGGATGCCTCAGTTTCCCCACTGCCACTGAGGCGGAAGGACCAGAGGCCGTTCTGGAACCCAGACTGGCAGCCTGGACTTTCTCATCGCCTACTCTGCTGTCACTCCCAGCTCTGACCCCGGGAGACCCCCGTCCCCTCTCTTACCCAGCGCAGCCCCAGGGCTGCGGGGTGGGGGAGGGGCGTGGGCGGGGCTTTCCCCGCACCACCCTGGCGCCTGCCTGGATCGGGTTACTGGAGGCAGCCTGGATTTGAATGTGCAAATAAACACAAGTCTCTTTGATCCGCCAGCCTGTGAGGGAGGGGGGAGAAAGCTGAACGCCCCATCCGAGAAGTGCACGCTGGGCACTTGAAAGGGGGCTTGGGGGATGCGGCAGGACAGCGCCCCATCCCTTTGACTGGGCCCAAAACCCACTTTGTTTAAAAAAAAAAAAAAAAAAGAAGAAGAAAGAAAAGACAAACAGAGGCGATCCAGAAAGAGGACCCGCGTCGGGCACTCTGGCTCTGGGAACCCGATACCCCACCGACCCGGGTCCTCCCCGTTCCCAGGGTGGGGGGCTGGGACGCCCCCGCCCCCGCGGCTCCCTGCCCTTTGGCCTTATTGGGTGCCCCCGGGAGGAGCGGGAGAGGCCACAGGGGACTCTGGAGGGTGAGTGGCTCGGGGTGGGGCCGTCGGGTGGGCGGGGGAGGGCCTATTGTCTCCTGGGCACCAATCCACAGCCGCAGGCAGACAAAGGCAGCAGGAATGAAATGGTAAGTAAAGGCAACAAAAGTGAGGCGGGGGAGACAAAAGCTGGGAACAATATTCCCCAGGCAATAGGCTGGGGACAATAGGGACAGTGACAGCCCCACAAAGACACCAGTGTCTGCAAGTAGACGCTATCTCAGGCAGTGGCTGGCAGCCCGCGCGCGCCGCGCTATTTTCAGCCCAGCTTTTGTGCCGTGCTGAACAATATTCCTTGCATGGCTGCTGATAGAAAGATGAGAAGCTTGCTTCTTTCCCTCCCCTCCTCCTCTTTTCCCAACCCCTGCCAGCTCCAGGCATTCTGAGCGCAAGCCCCTGGCCAGGCTAGGGGCGCGCACGGGTGTGAGTGTGCCTGCGTCTCGCCTCAACCTTGGGCAAACAGGGACTCGGGGCCTGGGGTGGGCAAGGGCCACGGTGCAGCTGGCAGTTCATTTCATTGCCAAGGCCATGGTGGGGGGTGGGGGGGGTCCCACCCTGTCATTCCTTCCTTGTGTCCCCAAGTGCTCTCCACCCCACCCCTCAAAGCCAATGCCTCCTCCCACCCTTAGTTATGGTTTTACCAGTCTTGGAACCAGTTCCCAACTTGCCTCCCCACCTCTGCCACGGGAAGCTGACCCCAAGGGAGCAGGAAAACTAGACCTAGGTTGGGCAAAGACTGTGTGGCACGCACTGGTGTTTCTGTAGGCCCCATGACCCTTCCCATGGGGGCGTACTTGGCTCCCTGCCGGTGTCAGCCGGTCCCCAGTGTCTCCCCGGCTCCTCCCGAGGAGCTGACTCTGGACTGTTGGGTGGGAGGTGTCCTTGCCCAGGCTATCTGTGGTTCCGGCTGGCGGGGTCCTCTCGGTTCTCTCCACTGTGGCTGTCCCCGTGGGCTTGGAGGGAACCTTGCACTCTTTGATCATCATTATTCTGGTTTTCATCACGTTTCTAGGCGGCCAAACTACTGCATCTCAGGTCCGTGGCTCCCTCCCAAAAACAGACGGAACTTGTTGGGAAGGCGCTCCTTCACGGCTTCCCAGGAGAACGCCTCCCTCAGAGGCCGGTCCTTATGTCGTTGTGCCACCTGTGGACTAAGTGTCCAGCTTTCTAAATGTAAGTTGGCTCTTAGCAGGCGGAAACACGTCTCATACCTCTGCTGGCCACCTCGTGGCCTCACGGTATATGGTAAGTTCTCAGTGGATGCCTGCTGAGTGGGACTGAGTTGAGGGAATCAGATGGGAACTTAAAGCTCATCTGGGACCTTGCTTCTCAACAAGTGGTCTCTGCACCTGCGGTGCCTGGGAGCCTGTGGGAGGTGCAGACTCTCAGCTCCTGGATCCCAGCCTGCATCCCAGCAAGGCCCCCAGTAAGAAGCCGGGACAGAGCACAGCTTCCTCTGCCCCGTTCCTGCTGCCATCCACCACCCGGAGTCCTAGACCAGCGACTAGACCCGGCCATCCGGCCGGCACCCAGGGAAGACCCCCGCAGGGTGAACTCTTGCCCCGTGGCAAGTCGGGGCCACAGCTGGAGTCAGATCAGGGCGAAGAGAATTCAGTTGGCATCCAAAGGCTCTTAGGCGTGGGGCCTGGCGCTTAGCACTTGCTCCTTCTGGGTTTACTGGGAGGAAGCTGAATGATCTCCTAAGCGCCCCCCACCGTGGTCATGTGATGGTGAGCGTTATGACCCCCCACCGTGGTCATGTGATGGTGAGCGTTATGTGTCAACTTGGCTGGGACATGGGGGTGCCAGACATGTGCGTGGCTGGGAGGGCATTTCTAGATGAGGCTGCCACTCCAGCCTGAAGACTGGTGGGTTTCCCTCCCTAATGTGTGTGGGTCTCATCAGCTGGTTGCAGGCCGGACCAGAACAAACCAGCGAGTGAGGGGAACCTTGCCCGCCTGGCCACAGGAGCCGCACCCCACCTCTCCTTCCCAGCCTTTCAGACTCGGCCTGAAGCGGCAGCTCTTCTCCTGGGACTCAAGCCTGCTGCCTTTTGCTTCTTTGCTTTTTACTTTTTTTTTTTTTTTTTTTTTAAGATGGATTTATTTATTTGAAAGGCGGAGCTGGGAGTGTGGAGGGGAAAGAGAGACCTTCCATCTACTGGGTGGGAGTAGACCAGGCTGAAACCAGGAGCCTGGAACTCCATCCCGGTCTCCCACATGGCTGCAGGGGCCCAAGCACTTGAGCCATTCACAGCTGCTTTCCCAGGCGCACCAGCAGGGAGCTGGATCAGAAGTGGAGCAGCTGGGACTCAAACCGGTGGTCGTATGGGATGCCGGCACCATAGGTGGCAGCTTAGCCCACTGCACCATAATACTGGCCCCTACTCCTTTACTTTGTAAAAGACTTATTAATTTATTTGAAAGGCAGAGTGACAGAAAGGGAGACGACACCCCCACCCACCCCAAGTATACAAATCCTATCGGTTCTGTGTCTGGAGAACTCTTAATACAATTTAGGTACTGAATAATTGGGTGCTGCAGTAACCAAACGTGTAGAACCACTCTGGAGCTGGGGGAGGGGTAGAAGCAGGAAGATCTTTGGGGTGTCTGCGAGAACTCTGGGTGTCATGGGTGACTCTGCCGTACTCTCAGATGGGAAGGAGGACCATGTCCTTAGATGCTGGGTCAAGGGTGATACTTTTTCTAAAGTGGCAGGGCTCTCCACTGAACTGAGAGCTGCTGTTTTGTGCAAAGTGTAACTGTGACCACTGAAGTTAGAAATTTAGCAGGGGCCAGCGCCGTGGTGTAGCGGGTAAAGTGACCGCCTGCAGTGCCGGCATCCCGGTTCGAGTCCTAGCTGCTCTACTTCCAATCCAGCTCCCTGCTAATGCTCCTGGGAAAGCAGTAGAAGATGGCCCAAGTCCTTGGGCCCCTGCACCCATGTGGGAGACCCGGAAGAAGTTCCTGGCTCCGGAAGAATCTCTTGGCTCCTGGCTTTGGATTGGCCCAGCTCTGGCCATTGCGGCCACTTGGGGAGTGAACCAGCAGATGGAAGATCAGTCTCTCTCGCCCTCTCCCTCTCCCTTCCTCCCTCCCTCCCTCCCTCCCTCTCTTCTCTCTCTGTGTAACTCTGACTTTCAAATAAATAAATAAATCTTTAAAAAAGTGGGTATGCTAAGAAAAAAAAGAGAAATGAACACTTTTTTTTTTTTTAAATTTAGCAAAGGGGATTTCTCGGCAAAGCATTGAAAGAGCAGAGAAATGGATTAAAGAAGGAATCGCTAAGCAAAACCAAACTAGAACTTGAAGATTTGGAAATGTTCAGCTTATCCATGTTGTAAACAGTGAGAAAGCTTATCCTGAACAGAACACCAAGGGCATGGCTGGAAAAACACGGAATAAAGAGATCATGAGAAGGGGGAGGGGCATCCTGGCACGGTGGGTTCAGCCGCCCTTGGGGACACGGCATCCCATACAGAGCGCCAGGTCACGTCCTGGCTGCTCTGCTTCCAATCCAGCTCCCTGCTAATGCCCTGGGAGGCAGCAGGTGATGGCCCAAGTACCCGAGTCCCTGCCACCCATGTGGGAGGTCATGGCCCAGCCCTGGCTGTTGTGGCCATTTGGGGGGTGAATCAGCAGATGGAGATCTCTCTCTCTCTCTCTCTCTCTCTCCCCCTCTCATTCTGCTTTTCAAATAAACAAATACATCTTATAAAAGGAGAGAGTGACCACGGTGGGACCCATGGCCTTAATCCAGAGTCTTGGAACACAAGCTGAGGATTGGGAGTGGGTCATCCCGGCCAAGACACTGCGAGTTCAAATGAAATGAAAGGGACAGAGAGGGACAGAGGAAGTGAAGGGAGGCCGTGGGACTCCCTGGATCCCGTGGAAGAACCAGAGAGCTTGTGAACAGAGACAGATCTCTGCGGAAAGGGCCAAGTGACCCGAGGTTTCCTAGGGTGGGGCCACGGCCTCAGTTCCAGGAGGCGGGGCTGTCTCGGACCCAAGCCCCAGGATGGGCGGCCCTGGGGAGCTTTAGGGCTGGGAACCTACACCCAGCAGGGCCCCAGGGATGGGACGCTGGCTGCTACATCATGGATTTGTCCGAGCCCCTTCCACCCCCCACCCCCCCAGTGGAGTCTGCTATGGCCGCCGCCCACCGCGGGATTTCAGGCACAGGAAACGTCTCTCAGGCTCATAACTGGAGGGCAGTTGTGCCTCCGGGTGAATGAAGGTCAGGCCTCACTTATATTTGATTTAGATGACTTTATTTATTTATTATTTATTTATTTATTTATTTATTTTGACAGGCAGAGTTAGACTGAGAGAGAGAGAGAGAGAAAGGTCTTCCCTCCATTGGTTCACCCCCAAAATGGCCGCTACAGCTGGCGCGCTGCGTCGATCCGAATCCAGGAGCCAGATGCCTCCTCCTGGTCTCCCATGCGTGTGCAGGGACCCAAGCACTTGGGCCACAGCAGAGAGCTGGCCTGGAAGAGGGGCAACCGGGACAGAATCCGGCGCCCCGACCGGGACTAGAACCTGGTGTGCTGGCGCCACAGGCAGAGGATTAGCCAAGTAAGCCGCGGCGCCAGCCTTAGATGACTTTTAAAAAGGACTTTTTATTCATTTGAAGGGCAGATTCCAGACACAGAGCCCTGTAGAGCCAAAATCGAAATGGAGCGAGTGTGGCTCACAGCTAATTGCTTCTGTCCGTGTCACCTCTGCTTGCTAGCGGCTAAGGGTGCACCTTGTGAAACTGCAGCCCAGATTCCGGGAACGGAGAAAGGGCCCCACGCCAGTGCGCTGCCTAAGTCGACAGAATGCGCCCTGCACTGTTACCGTACAACCATATCTTGGGTTTGTTATTGTGCCCGGGTTTGTTATTGTTAACTGTTATCTTACAACCGTATTCTGGGTTTGTTATTGTTCACTGCATACCAGGGGTTTGAAATCGTGAGCCCTAGTGGACAGAATACTATAAAAAGCTGGGTAACTCGCTGTTGGGCCCGCACTCTGGTAAGGAGTGTCGGTCCCGATCTGTTACCTCGCCTCTCATTTTCAATAAAATTCATGTGTGACGGTCACTGGTTTTGTAATATTCTATTTTAACTGATGAGTGGATGCAACATTTCCATCCACTGGTTCACTCCACAAACTGGTGCCACAGCCAGGGCTGGGCCAAGTGGAAGCCAGGAGCCTGGAGCTCCATCTGGGTCTCTCAGGTCAGTGGCAGGGGCCCAGGGGCTTGGGCTATTTGCTGCTGCTTTCCTAGGAGCGTTAGCAGGGAGCTGGATCAGAAGTGGAGCAGCCAGGACTCGAACCAGCACCGATAGTGGATCCCAGCGTCCCTGGTGGCAGCTTAACCTGCCAAGCCACAACACCGGCTCTTAAATAATATTTTTGAATTAAATGTTTCCTCCTGTTGATTAGAAAAACAAAGCCCTTTTGCTGGTCCCTGGTCAAACCCCATTGTCCCCGGGGCTGTTTTACCCCTGATGTGTTAACCGTCACCGTGTTCTGTGAAGGCCACCAGCGACACCTGGGTACTCAACCAGGCCAGACCGATGGAGGAGGCACTGCAGCCCATCTATGGCGCTGTCTCTGTCCAGTGAAATGAACAGTTGCTGGTCTCCCGGATTTGGTGCTGTGGGGAGGAGGGCGAGAGCTTGGAGCCGGCAGTCTGTTGGCAGCCACACCGGAAACTCACAAGCTTGCCGCTGCCTCCTCCCTCCGCCCCTCCCCCCACGTCAAAAGGAGGGCAGCAAGGGGACCACCCTGAGTGTGTGTGTGATTCATTCTGGGCTGGCGGGACAGGGTCAGAGACATCCTCTGTGTTGTTTCTAGCACCAGTAAGCAGTGGTGCCACGACAGCAGCTGTGCCTGGAGCTCTCCTAGTGCCCGGTGCAGCCACTGGGCAGGACGGGCAACAGCGGCCCCTGCGTGTGGCTTTGCTGGCGTAACCTAAACATCCCAGAGCCACCTGAGGCATGGGAAGGAAGGTCCCTCGGCCAACCCACGTGCAGCGTGTGCACCTGTACCTAGAGTGGCATTGTGGTCCTGGGTCTGAGTGTTCCTGTAGGACTGAGGGGGCCAGTGCTGGCTATGGTTCAGGGCCATGCCGTGGCTCAGTGCTGGCTGTGGTTCAGGGCCACACCATGGCTCAGTGCTGGCTGTGGTTCAGGGCCACACCGGCCGTGGCTCAGTGCTGGCTGTGGCTCAGGGCCACGCCGTGGCTCAGTGCTGGCTGTGGCTCAGGGCCACGCCGTGGCTCAGTGCTGGCTGTGGCTCAGGGCCACGCCGTGGCTCAGGGCCACGCCGTGGCTCAGTGCTGGCTGTGGCTCAGGGCCACGCCGTGGCTCAGTGCTGGCTGTGGCTCAGGGCCACGCCGTGGCTCAGCGCTGGGCCGTGGCTCAGGGCCACGCCGTGGCTCAGCGCTGGGCCGTGGTTCAGGGCCACGCCGTGGCTCAGTGCTGGCTGTGGCTCAGGGCCACGCCGTGGCTCAGCGCTGGGCTGTGGTTCAGAGTCATGCCGTAGCTCAGTGCTGGCTGTGGTTCAGGGCCATGCCGTGGCTCAGTGCTGGCCATGGCTCAGGGCCGCACCATAGCTCAGTGCTGGGCTGTGGCTCAGGGCCACGCCGGCCGTGGCTCAGTGCTGGGCTGTGGTTCAGAGTCATGCCATGGCTCAGTGCTGGCTGTGGCTCAGGGCCACGCCGGCCGTGGCTCAGTGCTGGGCTGTGGTTCAGAGTCATGCCATGGCTCAATGCTGGCTGTGGCTCAGGGCCATGCCGTGGCTCAGCACTGGGCCGTAGCTCAGGCTCATGCGCGGCTGCCTCGCCTTTGGGGAGACTCCACCCTCAGCCTACCCTCCGCTTCTCAGGAGGCACTAGCCGAGGCTGTGCTGGTGGACCGGGTGTCCGACACCAAGATCTGCTCCTCTAGGTAGGAGGTTTAAGTTCTCGGTCGCAAGGGCCGATCTTCAAATCCTGCTCCAGACTCGTGTGTGCTAGGGTTGCAGCCTGGATTAAGGAGCCCGGCTGTGGGCCTCTGTCCCTCAGGGTTTGCTATCTTGCACTTGTTCCTGGTCCGAGTTCTCTCCATGAGCGATCTTACTGTTTTCATTAGGCTTCGAGTTCCATGATGAAGGTGGCTTCATCGAGTCCTGCCCCGGGAGCAACACCAAGCCCACCAACGCTGTCCACACGACTGTCGGGTGTGGAAGTCCCGGACGATGAGCAGAGACGCAAGGCGACCCCTGCCCTCCCGCTGTTGGAGGCTGATTGCAGAGACTGACCCTGTGGGATTCCAGCTCAGCAGCTGAAGAGGCAGAAGGACGGAAGACAAGATCCACCATCTCCCGGTAGCTGAGGATCAATCTGGAGCTCCGGGGCCGGCGCTGGGGTGCAGCAGGTTTAGCTGTGGCCTGAGACGGCGGAGTCCCATACAGGCACCGGTTCAAGACCTGGCTGCTCCACTTGCGATCCAGCTGCCTGCTATGGCCTGGGGAAGCAGTGAAAGCTGGTCCAAGTGCTTGGGCCCCTGCACCGCGTGGGAGCTCAGGTTGCAATTCCAGTCTCTTGGCTTTGGCCTGGCCCAGCCCAGCCGGTGCTGCCATTTGGGGAATGAACCAGCAGCTGGAAGATCTCTCTGTCTCTCTCTCCATCTTTCTCTGTAACTCTGCCTTTCAAATGAATATAAAGAAGTCTCTCTCTCTATTTTTTTTTTTACATAAGTGAACCTTAAACAGCCCAGTGCACTGACAACACAGGACGCCAGTGAGGCGGTGGAGCCACAGGAGGTCTCTCGTTGTTGGTGATGGTGCAAACGGTGCGGCTGCTTTGGAAGACAGCTTGGTGGTGGCGTCCAAAACCGCCATGCTCTCACCATCCAACCCAGCAGCCATGCACCTCGCCAAGCACCCAGAGCTGCTGGGGCCTTCCGTCCACACGAAACAACCATGCACCTCTCCAAGCACCCAGAGCTGCTGGGACCTTCCGTCCACACGAAACAACCATGCACCTCGCCAAGCACCCAGAGCTGCTGGGGCCTTCCATCCACACGAAACAACCACGCACCTCACCAAGCACCCAGAGCTGCTGGGACCTTCCGTCCACACGAAAGCCGCACCTGGATGTTTGCAGCAGCTTCATCCATAGCTGCTGAACACTGGGAGCAACTGGAATGCCCTCGCAGGTGAATGGAGAAGCAAACTGCGATCCAGCCAGACAGCGGGGTGTGAGCTGTCAGGCTAACGAGCCACGAAAAGGCGTGGAAGGAAACTGTACAATGCTGGAAAGCCTCCATCCCGTGTGACTCGGGGGATCTGGCGTTCTGGAAAAGACAAAGCTATGAAGACAGATCGGTGGTTGCCGGGGGTTGGGGGAGGGAGGGAGGAACAGGTACAGCACAGGGGCTTTTAGGGCCGTGAGACTACTCTGCGTGGGATGGTGGCTGCTGTCTTACAGGTGTGGCCAAACCCAGGTGACATCCAGAGGGAGCCCTAAAGGAAACCACGGTCTCTCCCTGCGATGACGCTGTGGCTTCCCAGCCCTGACAGATGGACGGGTCCCTCCGGCAGGCAGGTGGGTAATGGGGTGGCCGTGCAGATTTAGGGGCAAGGGGCATATGGGAACCCTCAGTCCCTTCTGCCCAATTTTTCTATGAACCTAGAATGGCTCTAAAAAAATAAAATCCATTTTTAAAAAGTAAGAAGGAAGCCTAGGAATGTCCAAAGAAGAGAAAGTTTCATGTAGACAACAGAGGAGAGGTGGGAAATGGACCCTTAAACAGGTGGCTCCGGCCAGGGAAAAGCAGACGGCACGGTCTTGGAAAAGGATAGAAACGAGGACACAGGCAGCTCCGCTCGCGTCTTGTTTTGAAAACACGAATTTGTTCCAACCCGATTCGTACATCAGGGAGCAGCTCGAGCGGAGCACAAAGTTTGCTGAGGCTTGTGCTGTATCTGGCCCTTGGAGACTCTGGGTAAACGGAGGCGCCGGTCCCCGCTGCTCCCCGCAGCTCCACAAGCACACCCCCACACGCCCATCCCCGCGTGAGTCCACGGGTGCCCTAGAGACGCCCCGTCCCCTCTGCCCTGTAACTGCTTCCATGCTCAGACAGCCCCTCCCACACCTCACAGTTACATAGAAGCTCCGCCCCTTCCTACACGCACCTCCGTATGAAAAACCATGTGTTTCAAGATGTCGTGCCATATTTAGTGTAGCATTTACATATTTCTTAACCATTTAACATGTGTAAACTGTGCTATTACCTTTTTTAAAAGCAGAAAACTTGTATGTTTAAATTTTTTTTAAAAAGATTTATTTATTTATTTATTAGGTAGAGTTACAGAGATACAGAGGGAGAGAGAGGGAGAGAGAGGTCTTCCACCTGCTAGTTTGCTCCCCAAATGGCCAGAGTGGCTGGAGCTGAGCTGATCTGAAGGCAGGAGCCAGGAGCCTCTTCCGGGTCTCCCACCTGGGTGCAGGGGCCCAAGGACTAGGACCATCCTCCACAGCTTTCCCAGGTGCATTAGCAGGGAGCTGGATTGAATGTGGAGCAGCTGGGACTTGAACCAGTGCCCATATGGGATGCCGGCACTGTAGGCAACAGCTTTACCCACTACACTACGGGGCCAGCCCCTGATTTTTTTTTTTTTTTTTTTAAAGCATTTACCTGAGAGGCGGAGAGAGACAGAGACAGAAAAAGAGAGAATCCCCATCCGGTGGTTCACTCCCCAGATGCCTACAGTAACGGCCTCAGGGATGGAGCGAAGATCCTAATGGGGTCTCCTACATGGGTGCAGGGACGCAGGGACTTGAGCTGTTACTGTTGCCTCCCAGGGTCTGCACAGTGGGAAGCTGGTGTCAGGAGCCAGAGCATGATGGGGGATGTGTAGTCTCAGCCGATGTCTTTACCACTCAGCCACACACCCGTCTCTAGGCTACCACTTCATTAGACTCCTGTGTTTGGGTGTTACTGACCTCATTTTGGGTGTTGTACCTTCTAACTCTTATTGCATAATTTTTGCATAGCACCGTGATTTTTAGGAGAAGTGGCAGTATGGGCTTTGGAATAAAAATAATACTTGGACAACTGTGACTAAGTGACTTGAATTCTCACTGATTTTATGTAGGAGAATTTTCAGACAGAAATCTGGAATTAGATTCATTCAGTTATCATTCATTTGACCAGTATTTGCCACATGCCTACTCTGTTCCAAGTACTGGAGATGTGGCAGTGGGGGAAAAAAAAAGAGCATCCTATGTAGATGAGACACCGGCAGCAAACACGGAAGCCTGGTGCATGTCAAGTTCAGCCAATGGCAACCTGGCCGGGGCAGAGTGAGCCGAGAGGCTGAGGGGGAGCAGCTGCCAAACAGGTGACAGGTGGGGGCCGGGTGGCGGCACAGTGGGATCAGCTGCTGCAGTGTCACCGGCGTCCCATATCCAAGCACTGCTTCAAGTCCCCACAGCTGCACTTCTGGTCCACCTCCCTGCTAACGTGTCTGGGACAGCAGCAGCAGGGGGCCCAGCGCTTGGGCCCTTGCCACCCACGTGGGAGACCCGGATGGCGTTATGGGCTCCTGGCCGAGTCCTGGCACTTGCAGCCATTTTGGGGAGTGAATCAGCAGGTGGAAGTTCCCATAATGGAACCGAACACGTCTAGTTGCAGAGTTGAGAACAGACCGCTAGAAAGCCAGAGCAGAAGCAGGGAGACAGTTAAGTGGATTATGATGCCGGCGAGAAGTGGACTAATACTGAGAACAGGTAAGATTTGCTGATGACTGCATGTAGGGAATAAGAGGAAGAGGAGTTGGGGCTGGGGCTGTGAGGGTGGAAGATTAAGCCGGCATCCCATATGGGTGCCAGTTCTAGTCCCAGCTGCTCTACTTCTGATCCAGCTCTCTTGCTATGGCCTGGGAAAGCAGTAGAAGATGGCCCAGGTTCTTGGGCCCCTGCACCCATGTGGGAGACCTGGAAGAAGCTCCTGGCTTCAGTCCTGACCCAGCCCCAGCTGTTGCGGCCATCTGGGGAGTGACCCAGCAAATGGACAATCTCTCTCTCTCTGAATCTCTGCCTTTAAAATAAATAAATAAATAAATGCATCTTTTTTTAAAAAAAGATTTATTTTATTTACTTGAAAGGCAGAGTTACAGAGAGAGGTAAGAGCCAGAGAGAGGTCTTCCATCCACTGGTTCACTCCCCAATTGATGGTAACAGCCAGAGCTGAGCTGAGCTGAAGGCAGGAGCCAGGAGCTTATTCAGGGTCTCCCACGTGGGTGCAGGGGCCCAAGGACTTGGACCATCTTCCACTGCTTTCTCAGGCCATAGCAGAGCACTGGGTCGGAAGAGAAGCAGCTGGGACTCGAACCGGCATCCATACGGGATGCTGGCACTGCAGCATCTTAATCTTCCACCCCACAGCACTGGCCCCAGTAAATGCATCTTTAAGAGAGAGGAGTCACCGATAACTCCAAGGTGTTCTATTTTTTTTCTTCTCTAAGTAGCAGGATGAATGGAGTCGCCTTTACCTTACATTTATTGAGTCCAGGAGGAACCTGCTGGGGTAAACAGCAGGTGCTCAATCTAGGACTGTGAGACACCCAGATAGCAATGTTGAGCAACCAATCGGAGAATGAAGGCGGAGTCCTGGAAAGAGGTTCAGTTAGAGACGCAAACCTGGGAGTCCGCAGAGGCAGGTGGCGGTTACAGCCCTGAGACTGGAGATCAAGCACCTAAGAGTGAGTGTGGATTAATAAAGGGGGGAGGTGAGGCCCAGGGACTGAGCCTGGGGTCCCCCGGGAGCACTTGCAGATGGAGACAAGGAAGAATCAGCCAGAGAGAGAGAAAGAGTGGGCGGAGGGACAAGAGGGCCTCGGTGGAGGCAGCAGGTGGCGGCCATCAGCACAGGTGCAGCTGGGGGATGTGGGGATGGCGGCCAATCCTCGCCATCAGGTGAGGCCAGGTGAGAGGCAGGTAGTGGAGACTGAGCATTCTTAAAGAAGTTTGCAGGAGCAGAGGGACCTGGGGTCGCCGCTGAAGGGAAAGTGAACTCCAGAGAGAGTTCTTCAAAGAAAGGAGAGGCGGCCACGTATGTGTGCGCAGAGGCAATGGCAATGACTGGCGGGAGGCGCTGGTGAAGCAGGTGCGAGAGCGGAGAGGCGCTGGGCGGAGCGGGGGGCGGGGCGGGCAGACCGGATCCCGTGTGCGTGTGGACGTGGAGGGGCGGCAGCCTCTGGCCGCACAGACCCTGGGAAGAGGCTCCGTGGCCGCAGTAAGATCCTCAGCTCAGAGTCGGGCCACGGGGAGAAGGAGTGCGTCAGGGGCGCGATGGCGGTGCGGCCCCGGGGTCAGGAGAGAGACGGCCCCGGTGGGCAGCCAGGCGGAGGCCACGGCTGTTTCTGGAAGGGGTGGTGCAGAGCACAGGAGCGCTGGATGTGGTTTGGCCAAGCAGACTGACAGGTGCCTGGGCTCCCTTAGCTCGGTTCCTGGAGCCGTGAGGACCGCCTGCGCTGCCTGCCCCGGGTGGTCTGAGGTTACCCTGTTGTCCCAGTGATTCTTCTACTCTCAAAATGGTCTGGATGCGGATAATGAATCCTTCATTTACCCAGACCCAGCGCGGGTCATTGGAGCTTCCTGGACAGACTCCATCAGTGTGGACCATAACACATTCTAATTGGATGGGGCTTCCCTGAGCCCCATGACCGGGTTTCCTACCTCTGCTACCAGCGGAACTTTGACAAGGGGTCTCCCGTCTCTCAGCTGACTCAGCAAAAACAGGGCTGACTCAGGCCTAGAGAGCCGTTGGGGGTTACCCCAACGTTAGGAAAACTCTCCTGGCTCCCAGAGGGAAAAGGAAAGGGATGGAGGCCATGTTCACACTGAGAGGCCCCTTCTCATGCTGCCGGGCAGGATTAGGAGGACAGAGGCTTGAGCAGGTGGGAGGAGAAGGGAGCCCAAGCACGCGTGGGGCCGTGGAGGGCGGGGCATTTGGCACCCAGGCTGACAGGGCTGCAGCTGCTCAGAGCGCCTTGGGTAATCCAATGGCGTCCATGGCAGCTGAAAGCTTCAAGAACAAATGTGCTAGGGGGCAGCGTGGTGCACAGTGAGCTAAGCTGCCCACTGCCGCTCCAGCGTCCCATATTTAAATCCCGGCTGCTCTGCTTCCAATCCAGCTCTCTGCTATGGCCTGGGGAAGCAGTGGAAGATGGCCCAGGTGCTTGGGCCCCTACACCCATGTGGGAGACCTGGAAGAAGCTCCAGATTCCTGGCTTCAGATCGGCCCAGCTCCGGCTATTGCAGCCATTTGGGGAGTGAACCAGTGGATGGAAGACCTTTCTGTCTCTCCCTCTCTATG